CCTAGCACTGACAGACCGACCGGCAGACGCGACCGTGACGTCATGACCCGTGCCCATCCTGTACGTCTACAGGTCGCGTGTCCGGCCGGTAGGGGCCGGTTGGAGACAGTGGCCCGCTCTCACCGGCCGCCGCGGCTGGCGACAGCCCCCTCCCCCTGGCGCCGGACGCCAGGTCAACAAACAGTCGGCTCCGGTGACGCCGCCGTGTCAGACCGACGCCCCGCCGGCGGCCGGCTCCTGGCGCAGAGGGGTGTGGGGACTGGCCGACCGGAGGGCACCGGCCAGGGCACGCGGCTGGCGTGGGCAGGACGACTCTGGTCGCCTCGCCGCGTGGGCTCCAAGTGTGCAACATGAATTGACGGCGGAAACATAGTGCTTAGCTGCAGGGATTAACACCAGATTTTACGGAAGGCGATGCTGTGAGCTGCCCCTGAACAGAGCATACAGAATCAACAGCACGCAAGTGTGCCGTACATTCCCGTGGTTTAGACTCGTCACGATCGGTCGACACTGCTATTGTTCAGGATAACTGATCGAGATCGACTGTATCCGCCCTCCTTTCCTCATTCACGCCTCATCTGATGCCCTGGCAACGCCCCGTATATCCGAGGCAAGCTGCATGTCTCAGCCATGAGCTGGCTAAGTGCCCCTTCACCTGGCGGGGCACCCGCACATACCGAAGAGATCTCCCTGTGCGGGGTATGTCCCCGTAGCAGAGGACTTCCAAGTGTACGGAGTCTGTGTGGGAGGCCACTACCCAGCCTCATTCATGCAATAACCCTGTCATGGTTATTATTCGCCGAAAAAGCTCTAATCCAAATCAAACCAAAGAAAAAACCGGCGCCAAAAGGTGCATCGTCAGCACTCGCGGTGACGCAACCGCATGCTCTATCTTAGAGGGATAGTGTTCGCCAAGGCAGGTGAGCTGGAGTGAAGGACAATTTCACTTGAGTCGTGGTTTGGGTTAAGTGAGCCTTCGAGATCCATAAACGCCACTGAAGATCTGGAAAGGGCGATCCAAAGACCATCCAGACGTACAAATAAAAACGCCGTGTGAGTAATACATACGGCAGATATGGGTGCTGCCCTGCGCTAAAAAGGGAGAGCAGAAAAAACGGACGAGCAGACGTCTTTGCTTTTTACAGCAAACGCCACTTTCGCGAGCATATCCAGAAAGCCTTGATGACATCCATCTTTTACAGCGCTTTACGAGCTTGGAACAGAGCGGTGCTGAGGCCGGAGAATGAGGCCGTCTCCTCTGGCTTCCCTGCCGCCACCATTTAGCGCTGAGGCCGGAGAGTGAGGCCGTCTGCTCTCGCGTGTCTGCCGCGGCCATCCAGCGCTGAGGCCAGAGAGCGAGGCCGTCTGCTCTGGC